TTTTGTTTTTTTTTTTTTTTTGACTTTTAAGCCCTTTTCTCTTATTAATAAATAATAAACCTACGTATAAGTATTAAGCTTCGTTCTTTTCACCATCCGAATCACAACTTAAATTTTTTGTTACAGTAAGTTTTCTTATAAAAATTTTAATTAATTTTTTCTGCTGCAGTATTTTTTTTTATATAAATTCACTTTTTAATTTAAATTCTCTACTCGAATGGGAAATGAGACCTAACTGATTTTAAATTTTATTTTTTCGTATGAAAGTCCCTCTTTTTTTGTGAATTAGTTTCTTGAAATTTTTGCTCAAGTATCTCATATTTTATCTTATATTTATTGTCGTTTGAAATTTATAATTAAAGTAAATCCTTCCGAGATTATTTATTTATTTTTTTACGAGAGCTTTTTACTGTAGCAAAAAAGTTAGATGTGACTGTTTCTAAGAACTTTTTACTGTAACAAAACTCGAATTGGTGAAGTGAACGGGATCATATTTTTTCCTGGGTGGATTGTTTTGACCCTCTTTTGAGAATAAAACGTTTTGACTTTAAACAAGTAAACGTTGGTCTCTCTCTCTCTCTCCATAGGGCTGCCTTAGAATTAACTTAAATAAAAGATATATAAGACAAAATCTTTATGATAGTTTTAAAGAATGACTATACTCATGAGATTATTTCGTGCAATGCAATTATACATGTCACTCATTCTATTCCACTGTCGGTAAACTCATCAAAAAATTTTGATGTCATGAGAAAAAAAAAAAAAGGTGTGTGGTCCAACTTCCAAGTTTCAATCCGTCCTAAGTTTTCTGAGGGGTATTTTTTATGCACTATTAGAGACTTTTATTAGCTATATTAATGCTCACAAAACGAAAATAAAGTTGCTACATTCATTTCATTCGCACGGTTGAAGGTGACATACATGCTAATTTGACTTTTGGCTTGTGTCACAAAAGCATGCCCCTTGAATAAATCGTATTCCAAGTTTATAAAAGTAAAATAATATTTAAATATGACAATACTAATAATAAATGAAACTTTCTACGTAGTAGTACTTTTCTTTGTTTCACATTGTAATATTTGACCAACCAGCCTATCGCCGGTAAATATCATTTTCTTTCTTTAATAAGCATTTGCAAAATGTCCTTTGGTAGCCACTTCATCATTTATGAATCCAAAAGTAAAAATAACAAAATAAAATAAAATAAAATAAAATAATGCATGCATGCATACATGACTAAAAAAATATAGTTTCATTCTATTAATTGCACAGATTTTACACTCACTCTACGTGAGAGGAGCAAGTATATTATGAGATTGTTGGCATGTTAATATTCCTCTAATTTTATGCCAAACTACCCTTATCAATCACGTTAATGAAAATTAGCCATTGAAATTTAAATGATCACAAATTTACTTTATATGAGTGTTTTTCTTTTCTGCCTATATAAGCAACCAAATGAACATTATACATACATTTTCTTTTTTTTTTTTATTTAAAAAAAGCTAGTAAAGTCATATCATACAATATTTTTAAAAGCCGCGTAGGATTGTAGTTTGTCAAGTTTGATCACTGAAAATTAACATGTGCAACATTGTCATTGAATGAATAACACATCCATTGGATTGCGTGTCTTAGTAATTTGACATTGTATTTATTCTGATTTTTTTTAATATTTTTTTAATTTTATATAATGAGCAATAAGAAAAACGACAAGAGATGGTCGATATAGATGGCTACAATTTTGCGTGAAATGGTCGTCAAAGACTCAAAGCCTCTAATATATATATCATCATGACTTTTTGTTGGCCAAAATGTAAGAGAACCACAATTATTCAGCCAGCGAAATGGCTCGAATATTTAGTTGTGTTTAGCTTAGTACAAAAGCAACCCACCTCCCACATTTGTTTTTGTTAATTTATCCGAAAAAAATAAATTTAACGGAAAAAAAATATTGAAAGGACAAAGCTTGTTTGGGCCCCACAACTATACACTATAGCATCGTTCATTTCACCGATTTAAATTTTTACAATAAAAAATTTTCAAAAAATGTCAGATTTAACTTTTTATGTTACAGTGAAAAGTTCTCAGAAAATGTCACATCTCAATTCAAATTTGCGAAATGAAGATGCTTATGCAAAATTGTTTACATATAAATAACAAACCAAATAACCATATATGGTTTGAGACAATAGATTGGAAAATATTGTAGTATTTTTACTTGGAAGAAATACAAACACATAAGCCTCACATCATAATAATTAACAATAGAAGGGGGAAAAAAAAAACACATAGTCCATGTGGGGTTTTTTTAGTATTTTACTTCATGTTGATATTTTCTCGATTTTCTAACGTTCTTTTTTGCTAAACTCAATTTTTTAGAATTTATACGTAGAATATTTTTCGGGAAATTTTTATAAGTTATAATTAGAATCATGTTTTTTTTTTTTTGTTTTTTTTGGGTTCTCTTTCTTTCTTTCTTTCCTTCTTTGTCTTTTAGGTATTTGTGGAAAACCTATTTTTGCAACTGAAGTCAATTTAACTGACGACAGTAGAGTATTAAGTGAAGTAAAAATAATCTGTAATTTTAATTTAAAATTATTCGATAAATCATTTCTTACAAAGATATGTATAAAATAATAATAAAAAAAATGAAAATTCAACCTTTTTCAAAAAAAACGAAAAAAAAAAGAAGAAATTCAACCCCTTTCAGACAACTCAAGTCTCAGATATAGGCTATACTCTCTTGACTTTCTTCCTCTCTCTCTTCTCTCTCTTGCGATTCTCTGAAATCTCTGTATTCAGAGAATACATGAAAATCCATTTAAATCCAATTTCTCACATGTATTTCTAGGGTTTCGATTTTTGCCGAATCTAGCTTCGCAGTTTCATAAATTAAAATTACTCACTCAGATTTGTGTTGGATTCCGAATGGACTCAGCTCCGATTTCCCAGCTTCGAGTATGTTCGTTTTTTTTTTTTTTTTTTTTTCAAGTCTTCGTATCTTCTAATTTTAGTAAATTTTTTATTTTTTTCGTTAAGTTCGTTAGTTGTTCACTTTCTTCAGCTTATAAATTGGAATTTTTGGTAGATCTGTGTTGCGAGAGCCGAGGCTGCGCATGAGCTATATGGGATCGTAAGATTTTGTTTGTTTTCCGAGAAAATTAGGGAGAGGAAAAGAAAGCGGAAATTTTGAATTTTTTTACTTTCGGATTATGGATGTCTTTGTGTAGAAATTTCGCGTTGTTTTACATGACCTAAATGATAAAAGAAATCTGGATTAAAGATGATCTTTTTTTTCCCCTCGTCCTTATTGATTTCACTCGGTACCAAACGGAGGATCAATGTCATTGGATTGGAAGAAGTTGGGATGACCCAAGTCAAGCTAGTCAAACAGCGTTGAAAACTTGTTGTTGTTCTAGTTCTGTGTGTTAGTACAATTTAATCACTGCGAAGCGGAATACTAGAAATTCTAGAATTTGATGGCGCCTTTTTATTATTGTTGTTGGAAACGTAGGTGATGTTTGTTGAATCAGAAACTTTGAGGTGGAAAAGTACAAGGACACTAATGAAAGTGAGGATATGCTTAATGGGTTGTCGAACTATTGGAATTTGTAGGATCAATATTATTCTAAGTCGAATATGACTATAAATTAGAGTAGTTGTCTTCGTGTAAGAGTTTTTTTCATTCCAAGGTTTAGGTAGGCCTGGATTTTTGTTGTTCGGTTTGCAAAATCTTTTGGGCCACGGTTGGAGCAGAGTTTTTGTTGTTGTTTTTGTTGGGTGGGTGGGTAGTGGTCTATATGTTCGTACCCTTCACGATTGATGAAAGATAATACACCCTGCTTCTCTGGTTGTCATGGAGAGAAATATCATGTTCTTGTTTAAGCATATTCTTTTGCTTATGTCTATTAGGCAGTTTGATTTGCACGACTGATGGGTTAAAGTTGAATTTAGTTTTGGTTATCATCAAATATGGCATAAAGTTTTCGGGAAATGTCAACGTGCAGGTTCCTGCAAGGTTTTATCTTACGTTGAATTGATGTTGGAACTCACTTAAATGCCGAGCGTTGGTACTTGTGGCTTAGGACTGAATTCTACTGGCTTGAAAGTTGTATGAGCTTAATAGCTTGTCAAGAATTCCATGTAATGAGATCCTTGCTTCTGTAAACCATTACTAATAAATATGCCGTCATGGTGGGGGAAGTCGTCATCCAAAGAATCAAAGAAGAAGACAAGCAGCAAGGAAAGTTTCATTGACACATTGCACCGGAAATTTAGGATTCCTTCTGATAATAAAGTGGGCAGTAGATCTGGAGGGTCTCGAAGACATTGCAGTGACACGATTTCTGAAAAGGGATCTCGATCTCCCGAAGAATCTAGATCTCCTTCACCTTCTAAACATGTAGCTAGGTGTCAAAGTTTTGCTCAAAGATCTAATGCTCAACCACTTCCACTTCCTAGCCTACATCCTGCAAGTGTTGGTCGTACAGATTCTGGAATTAACATCTCAACAAAAACAAGATGTGAAAAGGGCTCCAAGCCATCACCGATTCTGCTCCCAAAGCCTGTTTGCCTTCGTAGCAGGCCAAATCCTACGGATATAGATAGCGATTTGGTTACTGCTTCAGTGTCTAGTGAGAGCTCCATTGATAGTGATGATCTAGCCGACTCACGTCATCGTAGTCCTCAGGCAACTGATTATGACAATGGAAATAGAGCTGCTGCAGGAAGTCCGTCCAGGTGAGTTTGTTGTAAACTAATACATACTTATTTCAAGATGCTCCTCTTTCTTTCTTTCTTCTTCTTCTTTTCTTTTCTTTTTTTTTTTTTTTTTTTTTTTTTTTTTTTTTTTTTTTTTTTTTTTTTTTTTTTTTTTTTTTTGTCTCTGTCTTCCATGGATTTACTGATTTTTTGTTTATTTTTTTTTTTAAATAAAGTGCGATGCTCAAGGATCAACCCTCCAATTTTTTCCAAATATGCTCACGAGAGGCCAAAAAGCCAGCTAACCTTCCTTTCGGTAATCATATTTCACCTACGTCGCCCAAACAGAGGCCTTTGAGCAGCCATGTGCCAAATCTACTGGTTCCTTATAATGGTGCTTTCTGCAGTGCTCCGGACAGCTCCATGTCAAGTCCTACTAGAAGTCCACTTAGAGCATTTGGCTCTGAGCAGGTAGTGAACTCTGCCTTTTGGGCTGGGAAGCCATATCCAGATGTTACTCTAGCTGGATCTGGTCATTGTTCAAGTCCCGGATCCGGTCACAACTCTGGGCATAATTCTATGGGAGGAGATATGCCCGCACAGTTTTTCTGGCAACAAAGCAGGGGTAGCCCCGAGTACTCTCCAGTACCTAGTCCTAGAATGACTAGCCCTGGCCCAGGTTCCAGAATTCATAGCGGTACTGTCACGCCTATCCACCCCAGAGCAGGAGGGATGCCTGCTGATTCTCAGACAAGCTGGCCTGATGATGGGAAACAACAAAGTCACCGTTTGCCTCTTCCTCCTGTTACAATTTCTAATCCTGCTCCTTTTTCTCATTCAAATTCGGCAGCAACATCTCCTTCTGTGCCAAGAAGTCCGGGAAGAGCAGAGAATCCGGCAAGTCCTGGTTCCCACTGGAAAAAGGGGAAGCTGCTTGGTAGAGGCACATTTGGACATGTTTATGTTGGTTTCAACAGGTTTGTAGTCAAAATATGATTGCTTAAATCGTTTTAACATTTATGTAAGCTTACTTATTGATCTTATTAGCCAAGTGTGGAGGAAAATGTTCAATATAAGATATAATTGCCTCTTGTTTGTTTGTTTGTTTGTTTTTATTATTATTATTTTTAGCTGGGAATAAGTTGAAAATTGGATATTGGTATTACTCAAAAGTATTGACAATCAATTCCTTGGTCAACTTTAAACTTATATTTTGATTAGACTTGTTTAGCGACTAGTTTGTGCATTTCTAATTCTTTATACCAACTTGTTTAGCGACAATGGAGACATGTGTGCAATGAAGGAGGTTACGTTATTTTCCGATGATGCAAAGTCTAAGGAAAGTGCTAAGCAATTGATGCAGGTAATTCACCAGAGATTTAGGTCATGTTACTTTTATTTCAGTATTTGCTATGTGATTTTACATGGCTGGGAGTCTTTGAAAATTTCTTATATTTAGTGTTTGTGACAGGAAATTGCCTTATTAAGCCGTCTAAGGCACCCAAACATTGTGCAGTATTATGGGTCCAAGACGGTAAGTCCTATGTCTACCATTTTGTTTTGTTCATCTTATGCATGTAAGAATTCTTATAGTTGTACATTTTGTTGTCATAGAATATAATGGTTATGTCATTGAGAAATGTCTGATTGCTATGGCGATACCAAAATCTTCAGATATCAATGTACATAGATTCAGTAGCTAGTGCTTCACAGGTCTTAGAAATTTTTTGGACTAGAGATTGGGTTATTGACCTATCTAGTAATCTAAATTGGTGTATGTTGTACAGGTCATCACCAATTTTGTTTTCTTTGATAGAAATGTGAAGGTTTCATGGTAAACTAACATAATTAATGAATTATACGTTGAACAGATCAGCGACAAATTATATATTTACCTGGAGTATGTATCTGGTGGCTCAATCTATAAACTTCTTCAAGATTATGGACAATTCGGTGAGCTAGCAATTCGTAGTTATACTCAACAGATCCTGTCAGGACTTGCATATTTACATGCTAAGAATACTGTTCACAGGTGAATGAGTTACCCATCCTTGATCAGGGGGAAAAATAATTTGAGTGGGTTAACAGAATTCATCTTATTAGTCTATTTCTTTTTACAGGGATATTAAAGGAGCAAATATACTAGTAGACCCAAATGGCCGTATTAAGTTGGCAGACTTTGGGATGGCAAAGCATGTAAGCATGGGCAAAACCATTTGTCTTTTTACAAAAGATTAAATTAAAGGATTTTCGGAAGTTAATGCCTAATAAGTGGTGCTTTATCGTTGGTGACCATTATTTCTTAATCAGCAAATCTACCTTGCTTAGACTATTTTTATAGCGAATATGTGAATCCTGTAAAAATAGTGCCTTTTCTTTTCTCATATTGATTTCGGATTGCTAGATACCGTGTTAACGATCAAGTCAGGCCTGACTTTAACTGTGAGGTTGCATGATAAATCTTGCCTTCTTTACCTGATGTGCCGTGCAGATCACCGGTCAGTCATGTCCATTATCATTCAAGGGCAGCCCTTACTGGATGGCCCCTGAGGTGAGAATCCACATAAAATTTCATTAAATAAAGCTTCCTTGTTCTATTACTGTGTGTTTGGGGTTGGAGTCCTGTCACTATCTTAGTTTGCTACTGCATTCTTTTTCCCCAGGTTATAAAGAATTCAAATGGCTGCAACCTTGCTGTGGATATCTGGAGCCTTGGATGCACTGTTTTGGAAATGGCTACTACAAAACCACCTTGGAGCCAGTATGAAGGAGTCAGTATATTAGATCTAACGTTGGAAGACTTCACATAAAATTATTTGGATAAATTTTATAAATACCCGTGAAGTAAAGTTACTTTTTCATCTGGGCCCCCACCCCTCTGGACTTTGAAAAGTGGTCTAGGCACCCCTTGTACTCTAAAACGTTAGCAAGAATGCTCATTGTGTCTATTTTAAGCTGATGTTGCAGTAATTTAAATAATAAAAGCTTAATTTTTTTAGCTAAAAATCATTAGAGAAATACAATAATTTGAGCTTTTATTATCTGTTTCTCTAATAATTACGATTTTCAGTTACAACTTATGAAGTTTTGTACTTTAAATTAGTCCCATGTCAGCTTTAAAGGGACAAAACATGACAGAAGGTCATTCTTGCTAACGTTTAAAAGTTCAAGGGGTGCGTAGGCCAAGTTTCAGAGTTTGTGGGGCAATATGAAAAAGTATTGTATTTCAGGGGGAATTTATAAAATTGTATATACTCTGTTTTTGAGAATGATACATGGTCAAATACCTTGATCAAGCCTTTTCTTATGGATTTGGAGTGATTGAGGAGTGAACGTGCAAGTGTAAACTCCATTTGTTCCTTCTCATTTGTTATATTTCTTCTGCTCTGCAGGTTGCTGCCATGTTTAAGATTGGGAATAGCAAGGAACTTCCAGCAATTCCAGATCACCTTTCACAGGATGGGAAGGATTTTGTATGGAGATGCTTACAACGAGATCCACTTCATCGTCCTGCAGCTGCTGAGCTTTTGGATCACCCTTTTGTTAAATATGCTGCACCTTTGGAAAGACCTATTTTGGGCTCCATGCCCTCAGAGTCATCCCCGGTGGTCACAAGCGGAGTAAAAGCTGTGGTATGATGTAGTAGGCAGTTTGGTTATCTCTCTAATGTTTAAACTCAGTAGATCTACGAACGTGTGCTGTTCTCTGATAACCATCAGTAATGTCAAATACAGCAATCATTTTTGCGAGTAAGACATGAAAAAGTTAGTTACTCTGCTTCTTTGCAAATCAGAGTGCTCCCTGCATGCGGCAGATAGGAAGTTTGCCTGAAGTAAATGCATTTAAAGATACACCTCAGACGTACTTGGAGACATCAAATTGTGAAGCCTTATATATAATTAAACACATAATATACATTTATCTTGATGAAATAGCTTGTTGTACTCTATATTTGTATATTTTTCTGTATCCTTCCATCTTTTACCATCAATATCTTTTTGTTTACCATTTGCAGGGAATTGCGCAAACAAGAAACTTCTCCACGTTGGACTCAGATAGACTTGCAGTTCATTCCTCTAGAGTATTGAAAACTAATCCCCATTCCAGGTACTTTCCTCTCTCTCTCTCTCTCTCTCTCTCTCTGTTGATATGATAAGGATGATATAGACACTGTTATTTTCTTGGTCTGATTCATGTCTTGAAATCCAGTGAAATTAACATTCCACGGAACATGTCATGCCCTGTCTCACCCATTGGTAGCCCTTTATTGCACTCAAGGTCACCACAGCACCTAAATGGAAGAATGTCTCCTTCTCCTATCTCTAGTCCACGGAATACTTCAGGCTCATCCACGCCTCTCACGGGTGGCAGTGGTGCCATTCCCTTTAATCATCCGAAACAGTCAGTAAATTTGCAGGAAGGTTTTGGAAGCATGCCAAAGCCCTTGACCGGCCTCTATGTTAATGGCCCCTCTTACCATGATTCAAGTCCTGATATCTTCCGAGGGATGCAACCAGGGTCTCATGCTTTCTCGGAACTAGCATCCCGTGAAAATGATGTTCCAGGAGTGCAATTTGCCAGGACTGCCCATGGAGAGTATGATGGACAGTCAGTGTTAGCTGATCGCGTGTCTCGACAACTATTGAGGGATAATGTCAGAATGGGCCCGTCCTTGGACTTGAGTTCCAGCTCTCCTTTGCCTAGCCGAACAAATTGCATCTAACTTCACGCATTTTTGTTGGACCCATTGATGAGAGCGAGTTCTCGTTTATTTTGAGAGTATTTATAGTTCTACAGGATCAATTCTTTCATCTTGCTACATGCTCAAGCTAATTTGCACAAGGACCCAAAAGTGGAGGAACTGAGAAATGAGGTCTAACCTGTGGTCGTTGGAAAAAGAAGGCACCGGATTCTTTCCCCATCACTTGGCATTCAGATCCTTGCATGATAGGCAATCTTCTTCAGTTAAATCTGGCTTCTTGCACAAACTTGTACGAAGTTCCGATCTTTGATTCTGCCTCTAGAGCAGGGCTTTTGTTGATCCAATGCAGTTCCTCCATAAAAAAAAAAAAAAAACTTGGCTTTGAGAACTGAGAACTGTACATTTGCTTAGGTTGTGATATATAGAAGAAAAGGGGGTTACAAATTTTTTTTTGGTCTGAACTGCTGTACAGAAGATGGAAAGTTGAATTGGGTCCGATTGTTGGTGGAAGAGTCTGCATTTTTGTTACTTGCAGTGATTTGTAGCCGGCTCAAGTGTAATTTTTGTATACTTTCTCTCAACCTAATTTGTTGCACGTACATCACCACTTAAATGGAATGAAGATTCTAATTCTCAGGTCCTGTACTAAATTGAATGCCTTCTGGTACTTTACTCGGTTCAGGCACTGAGGACTTCTCATCTATTTTATCTTTACTAACAAAGTCTTTTAATATGCAAATAATGTGAAGATTTTTGTAAATTTATAGGGAAGGAGAACATGCAACTAAATAACGGATTGAGCTCATGTGTCTCCTTATTCATGTTCCTTTTTTTTTTTTTTTTTTTTTTTTTTTTTTTTTTAAATTTTTTAATTGACGTGATATGAAATTTTAATTGACGTATCGTAATATTATTAGAGGGATATGAAAAGGAATAAATAAAAGACATATCCGGAGTCCATTTTCTAAAGATTTGGCTGCTCATCAAGGAACTGCACGCGGCCCGTCAATTTAATTAAAACTGCATGTATTTGTAATTTAAACGACACAACGCTTTCTTGCTGTCATTAAGGACATGTCTTCTTCTGGTAAAACGGCACGGATCCTTGCTTTAAACGCCCTAAATGTTTTGTGTGACCATCTCAAGAAAACTTTTTTTCTTTTAAAAGGTTTGCTTGATCCTAGATTTCATTCGTCATTATGCATGAACTTTAGATGACAAATAATGTATAATTGATATGCTTCTTAATAGATAAGAACCAGCAAGTTAGTGAACTTATTGACCACCATTATGTAAGTCAAAACACTATGAAACATCATTGACAACATCTGTTAATCAAATCCAAGCTAAAATCCCAGAGTTTTCTTGCCAAATTGGCATCATTAGCTTGTGAACTCGCCTCGGCTACATTACTGTCCAAAAAATAGCAGCCATTCATCCCTTTCACTTGTGGATGCAATGCCACATAGCACGTTGTTGCAGCACCCTAAGCACATTATTTGGACAAAACGATAAGCAAATTGACAAGGAAATTTTTTTTATGGTACTTATTTATTTATTTATTAAAAAAGAAAGAGGACCAAATCCCTCAAATCAGCTATATAGATTAGCTCAAAAGAAGAAACTAGCTAGGCCAAGAAAAAAGGCATTTACAATTACCCAAAAAGTCAAATTTCTAAACTTGCAATCTTGTATAACAAGAATGGTTACTAACTTACCAAAATGGGAGAAAAATAAAGAAGCAACGATATTATAAGTTGATTTTTTTTTATTTCTTCGAACATGACAAGTTGCATGTAAGGATATAATGCAATACCTGTTGAATGTTTTTCATGAAATATTTACCAAGCAAACCAGCAAGACCTGCATCAAAAAATCAAAATGATATCAATAACGCAAGCAGATTATGAGGCAGGTTTACATGCTTACAGTATTCTTCTCGGTATCTCCTTAAAAAGGATACGAGTGACACATAAATAGGATGAAACACTAACAGTGCAAAACCAGTAATACAAGCAGATTAACAGTGCAAAACCAGTAAAGTTATTACCACTAACAAAGCTGTGGTGACGGAAAAGATTGGTGGCGATTGCTCCAGGATGCAGCGAATTTGCGGTGACCTCCACACCTTCTTCCTATAATTAAGACAAGGTTATCCCAAAAGTAGGATTTGATGTTTTCATCAAATATTTTAAATCTGAATTAGTGTCTTACGTTCAGCCGTCTTGCGAGCTCGTTAGCATGTAAGACATTGGCAAGTTTTGATTGACCGTAAGCAGACAGACAGTTATACCTGTCAATAAGCAAATCCGATCATTTTAATTACTTGGTGAAATTGGAACAATTGGCTCAGTAGGAAGTTCTTTGCTGAATTGATGTTTCACTGGCCAAGAGCAAAGACCTTATTTCAACAAAGGGTGATGAAATACAAAATAGTCTTCTCAACAACAAAATGCCATTCAAGAAAAGGCTAAAGGATGTTCCAGAGTCTAGACTATTGCTCACCCTGATTGGTCATTGATTTTGTCAAAGCGAATCCCTTCTTTATAGGAGAATCTATGACGGCGTGACGAGACATTCACAATCCTTCCTTCTTTTTTACATTCTACTGATGTTCTCTTCATAGTCTCCAACAAAAGATTTGTCAAGAGAAAATGACCTGAAGAAGAAGAAGAATCTCAAATTATATATATATTTTTTCTATCTAAAACTTTGGATATATCCAAGTCATCCCAATAAGTAGCATACCAATGTGGTTTGTTGCAAATTGCAGTTCTATGTTATCTTTGGAAAGCATAAACGGTGTTGCCATGACTCCAGCATTATTACTTGCAACAATGAAAACAATATTGCTTGGATAAGAGAGATCAAAATACAAAATTGATACAACAATGGAATTTACCCCAAATGATCCTACTTTGTAGTCATCATCTTACTCTTACATGAGGATGTTCAATGGAAGACCGGAGGAACTGAAATCCGCCGCGAATTTCCTTACGGATGCCATAGAACTTAAGTCCAACTCCATTGCATTGATTTTGGCAGAAGGGCTTTCTTTAATTATAATTCCTTTGACGTCTTTGCCAGCTTCTATGTTCCTAACTCCCATAACTACATTGACACCTCGTAATGCAAGAACTCTGGCAGTTTCAAAGCCAATACCGCTTGATGCTCCTGCACCATTACCATTCATCAGTAGCAAAACATGGCATAGATAAATTGTTTTAAACTTGTTTCTAATTTGTCTGTCTAGTGTGGGCAAATAAAATGTAAGGAATTACCTGTAACAATGGCGGTAAGGCCAGTCCCATCAATTCCTTCAGTTACTTGCTCTGCTGTGGAAGAAGGGGAGAACCCGGATGGCCCTTTTCTGTCAAGCCACCACATCTCTCCAGTGCTCTCTCTCTCTCTCTCTCTTTCTCTCAGAAAAAAAGAGCTATGTCTGTCCGTCAAACCACGCCACCCACCTTGATAAATAAATAGAGTATGGATAATAATTATTTTCAGAAATAATTTTGGGAGTAGTAAACTTCTTAATTCTGTAGTAATTATTATGAGATGCATAGTGAATAGTGATTATTATAATAATCTATTTTTTTGTTATTTTTAAAATAATCTTTTTTTTTTGTTTTTTTAAAAATTTTTTTTTTTTTTTACTTTCTCCTGTTAATTTTCCTACCAATTGTATGAGTATTTTATTTTTAAATTTGATTAAAATCACATCAAATCAAATTAAAAGTATACAAAATAAATAATTTTTTATATAAATTTAATAGTTACCAAGATACGTCTCTTTTTTTTATTATTATTTATAACTTATAAGGCGGGATCTAATCGTGAAAGTAAATCAAATGATTTACAGTTAGGCATCATTCACTTCGTAAATTTGAGTTTTTAATTTAAACTAAAATGTGACATTTTCTAAGAACTTTTAATTGTAGCAGAAAAAAATTAGATGTGATATTTTTTAAAAGTTTTTAGCTGTAGAAACTTAAAAATAAAAACTCAAATCAGTAAAATGAACGAAACCTAAATAAGTGAAATAAATAATAAAATTTAAAAATATTTAAAATGAATGATAATAAATTTAAAATTTGCGTGGAAATTTTTTTTTTACCACATAAATTCAATTGTGAATAAAAAATTTACGATTTTAAAAATACTTCATGTTAAAATATGTTATTTAATTAATTTATTTAAAAAAGTTTGCTATTTACTGCAATTTTGCAAGGGTACAACACTGGGCTCCAGCCCAACAGCTAGCCCAATTTACCTAATCTATAATTTTTTTTAAAATGAAAAACTTATTTTTAAGAGTGCACCGGTTTTTAACTTTTACTCTATTATTCTTAATAAATATCTTATTGTTAATATTAAAAAAAAAAAAGAATCCTCCGTAAAATCCTTACCCTTTTTTACGGCTCAAGGCTGGCCCAATAGGGAAAAAAAGAAAAAAGAACGAAAAGAAAAGAAATAGGGATCTGGTATATAAGTAAATTTTTTATCGCCGGTGCCTTGTTCTACTAGGGCTTACTCCTCGACGCTATTCGATTTCCAGTTGCGGAAGCCATTTTTGACGCAGCAAGCAAAAGCAGAATCACAAGAGGTACTTTTCTCTTTTTCGATTCATGTTTTTGTTAATAGAGTAAATATTGTTATTTCATTCCATCAAAATTCTGGGTTTCCTTGATAATTTAATTATTTATGTTTATTTTCCCTTTTGTTTCTTCTAATCGTCGCTGCCAATATTTTTTTATGCTATCAAAATGTTGGATTTTTCATACAATTTCGGAATTCAGCTACTGAGATTTGCTATTTCGTCCGTGAATCTTTACGGTTGCTAAGATTTTTATTCAGAGAAATGTGAATTGAAGAGTAATTAAGGGAAAACTTAGATAATGTAACAGATTAACCCATATCTTCAAAATTTAGAGTATTTTGTGATACCACTTTCTACTTTAACCAATGTGCTCAGAATAGAAGGCCTTTTCTTTTGTATATGAGTTTCTCATTTTGTTATCACTAGTTAAATTGAGGCATTTCTTTAAATTTTTAAACCTAAGGGAAAGTACTTTAGTCAGTCTTCTAGTCTCATCTGCTATCTTGTAATGCAATTAAAGTTTATTTATGGTCAGTTTTGCTTCAAATTCATGGGGTCTTTTTGCAGGTAAGCCATGGTTAAGCACAACAACGTTATCCCTAATGGACACTTCAAAAAGCATTGGCAAAACTATGTCAAGACTTGGTTCAATCAACCAGCGAGGAAGACCCGGAGAAGAATTGGTGAGTGCCTTTCACACTCATCCATGTAAAACGACTTGTTGAAATGGAAACTTTGTAATATCAGATTTTCTTATGATGTGTTTTTTTCCATTGAAATTGCTACCAGCTCGTCAGAAAAAGGCTGTAAAGATTTTCCCCAGGCCTACTGCTGGACCTCTCCGTCCAGTCGTTCATGGCCAGACATTGAAGTATAACATGAAAGTTGGAGCCGGCAGGGGATTTTCACTGGAAGAATTGAAGGTAGGTTGTCTTAGCTTTAAAGTTTCTTTAACATGTTGCTTTTTATCTGATATTTTAACTTTGTGTGCACTTGGGTTTGAAATTTTGGAAATATGGATAATGTTGGTCATTTTTCTGTCGTATTATGTTTCATGTTATTATAAGAAACTATAAGGATGCAAGTGTTCATATGGGCCATGGTTCAAAGGATCTTTCTCACTTGATATATGATGGTTTGACTACCTCTGTGGTTCACCATTCAGGCAGCAGGAATACCAAAGAAGCTTGCGCCGACCATTGGAATAGCTGTTGATCATCGCCGTAAGAACCGATCTCTGGAGGGCCTTCAAGCTAATGCTCAAAGGCTCAAAACTTACAAGGCCAAATTAGTTGTCTTCCCAAGACGTCCCCACAAGTTCAAGGTAATGTTAAATGTTGTTATTGTATTGATTTGATCTAGTGAGTGTTTATCTGCATGTTGTTTCATCTTTGTCGTTTTCTTTAGGCTGGTGATTCTACTCCGGAGGAACTGGCCAGTGCCACCCAAGTCCAGGGCGAGTTACTGCCTATTGTGCGCGAGAAGCCAACAGTTGAGCTTGTTAAGGTTACTAATGAGTTGAGATCATTCAAGGCTTATGACAAGCTCAGAGTAGAGCGTACGAACCAACGCCGGCTTGGTGAAAGGTTGAAGAGGGCAGCGGAAGCTGAGAAGGAAGAGAAAAAATAGAAAATGTTACTTAATAGGCCCCTACTTGATATATTTTGTTGAGGAAAATTTTGCGTTTTTTTGCTGGATCCTATTTTAGTGGACTTGTTAAAAGTCCATTAATATTATTGTTTGTTATGTCAACTGAGTTAAGGAAATCTTAAATGACTTTTTGGTTGCATTGCCTATTTTTCTGCCGGATATGGAATTGAGGTCAGAGTGTCTTTTTGCAACTAGCCTGGATTTATTTCCAACAGGAAAATCGTTCTTTTGTTGAGCGAAATGGTTGAACAATTCCTCTTTTTTTTTTTTTTTGGGGGGCAATTGACCTAAATTATTGGTTGAACAATTAGTTTTCTGTAACTAAGGGGATGTTTAGTTAGAGGATTTAAACCATGATTTGAATCATGATTTATGGTTCACTGCAGTGTTTTTTCTCATAAAAAATACACATAAATCAAAAATAGTTTTAATTACATGATTTTAATCCATGAATGTCGTTTTATCTGAGGAGAAACAATTGATGGAGGGTGTCACAAACTCTAGCCCAATTAGGTGTCGTTTCGTTTTTCCACTCGGGGTCGTTTTATCTGTTGCTTCTGCCTTTCTTATTGATTCCCACTGTCGCTTAGCTATATAACAAATCGCTTTGTTCCTTTGTAAGAAAAAGCACTATACTGTTATCTTTTATCTTTTTGTTTAATAAATAACTTTAAGAGCACATTATTCAAATTATAATATAAATCTGGAGATCTCTAACAAACTCAGATTGGTTAATGATATAACAGATACTTTATAACTAAACTCGGTACATCATGTGGTCAAATTCAGGCTAAAATCCCAGAGTTTCTTTGCCAAATCCATGTCCCTCCCCTGTGAGCTTGCCTTGGAAACATTACTATCAACAAAATATTCACCGCTCACACCTTTCACCTGTGGATTTAATGCCACATAGCACGTTGTAGCAGCTCCCTACAGTAATCAATAACGTAATTCAACAATAAGTAAACTTTGAGAACAAAAACAAAAAGTTTATGCAGAGATTCTACATATATGGCATTTTCATTATTCCACTAGGATTAAATTATAAACCTTGGTGAACTAGTGAATCATATTTTGTCCTTGATTATAGCTTGATTGGTCCATTTATATTGTAGATGAAATACTGAAATGTAGTGGCTAACCTGGTGAACATTTTTCAGAAAAAATCTACCTAGTATGTTGGCAATCCCTGTATCAAACCAAAACAAACTGCAATATTAGCGGATGAAATCGGCACTTTTTTCCCCTTCAGAAACCAAGTTTTCTTGGATGTTTTGATTCGGAAAAGTTGTGTTACCATTGACAATGGCATTGTAGCGGAAAAGATTGGTTGCAATTGCTCCTGGGTGAAGTGAATTTGCTGTTATATTCACTGCTTCTTCCTGAAAAAAAAAAAAAAACAATATTTGACTGACAACAGACTGATTATTAATTCAATTAGCCTTATGATGTAGAAACTAAAGCCTTGTTTATACCTTTAGACGTCTTGCAAGCTCATTAGCATGCAAAATGTTAGCAAGTTTCGATTGCCCATATCCGGCTGCGCCTAGTTTTCCATACCTGTTATTTAGTATATGAATGGTTATCTTTAGATATTTCATGAATAATACTAGTTTCGATTATTTTCTTTTATTGCACAGTCATATCAGATTATTCCAATAATTGCAACTATACTGCAAGTTGTTACCCAGAAGGATCATTAATTTTTTCGAAACGGATTCCTTCACGATAGGTGAAGCGGTGACCAGCTGAGGAGACGTTTACAATTCTTCCTTCTTTTCCACTTTCACTTGCTGTTTTCTTCATTGTGTCCAACAAAAGATTTGTGAGGAGAAAATGGCCTGACAGACAGGGAGAAGAAAAATAAAATTAATTTTGTAACCATATATTGCAAATTTGAAGTGCTTATTAAAATGAGAAAACAAAAAAGAACAATCAATTTACTCGGTACACTAGTATGGAAAATGCTAGCTATAGCACTAAACGTTTACAATCTTAAGTATTTGCATGAAACCTTATACCTATCTGCAGATATTTGCTCCGGAAAATTTTTAAAGCTTTATCAGTAATCTTTAATTTGAGAATAATTTCATCGTTCAGTTTATAAAAAAAAAAAAAGGACAATTTGATCATTATTTTTGGTATATATGCAAATACGTACCTAAGTGGTTTGTTGCAAACTGTAGTTCCATATTGTCTTTAGAAAGCTTGAATGCACCGGTTGCTACCCCTGCATTGTTTCTTTATAGAAAAAAAATAATAATAATAAAGAAAAAATTACAAAGTCATCATAACTTGTCACATAAATTCCAAGAAAATAGCTGGCTTTTAAGACTCTGATGTGAAATTGGTTCCACCATTAGAATGCTTATAAATTCTTACACCAGGATATTGAGTGGAAGGCCGCATGAATTGAAATCTGATGCAAATTTCCTCACAGAAGGAAATGAACTGAGATCCAATTCCATAACATCAACTTTAGCAGATGGGATTTCCTTAAGTATTGCTTCTTTGACATCTCTACCAGCAGACACATTCCTTACAGCCATTATCACATGGACACCGCGCAACGCAAGAACTCGCGTCGTTTCGGCGCCAATCCCGCTAGATGCTCCTGTGATCACATCATGAACAATCCATCTTCATATGTAGACCATAAAATTTATTAACTTGTATGTTCATCTTATTTTACCTCTATGAAGTAAAGCAAAACATGAATTGGGACTAATATTTTTAACCTGTAACTATGGCGGTAAGACCGGTCCCGTCAATCCCTTGAGTGACTTCCTCTGCTGTGGAAGATGATGAGAACCCAGATGCCCCTTTTCTAAACGGCCACATGTGTTCTTTGCTTAATTGCTTCTATGAATGTCTAAAATAAATCTCTCACTCATCAATTCAATTCAATTTAAAGGGGTGGTGTTGTAAAAGCTAATTGTTAAAGATATTATTAAGATGTACGGGACCCACCTCATGGAGCAGACAATGAACATTATATCAGTAATCATGTTATTAAAAGTTCTTTATTAATCACTAATGGTTAATTAGTTTGACCGCAATCACTTTCTTGATATGATATGTAGCTTTGTATATCTTATCATGTATGTATCAGTCTATTAAATGAGCACGCAATTTGTTAAAAATATAATATTATTGTTGACCCACCTCCTAACAGTTTAAACTTTTAGAATAGATTGATAAACTAACATGGTATCAGAGTGAGAGGTCTTGAGTTTAAATTCCCGTAATTGTACTCTTTATTCATATTTAAAATTGTTATGTGTTGGGTCTTTAATATATCTCGGCCTTAAATATTCACGTGTTAGGATTTCTAATTAATTTACTCACATGATTGCCTATTGTCCAGCCCATACGTGAGGGGGAGTGTTAAAGTATAAAACTATTGTTGGCCACATCCTAATAGCTTAAGCTTTTAGGATGGATTGATAAACTAACATGGTATCAGAGCGGGAGGTCCTGAGTTCAAACTCCTGTAATTGCACTCTTTATCTCCATTTAAATTATCATTATGTATTGGGACTTTATTATATCTCGGACTTAAATATTCACGTGTTGGGCTTTTCAATTAATTTATTCACACAATTGCCCATTGTCCAGCCCACACGTGAGTGAAAGTGTTAAAGTATAAAATTATTGTTGACCCACCTCCTAACAGTTTAAACTTTTGGGATGAATTAATAAACTAAAACAGTTTGATTATGGGAAAGAAATCTGCACGTAATTATAAATATGATTTATTATTTGTTAATATCTCTGTCCCAATTTAAGCAAGTGTTGCTTGTGTTTGTAGGTTATTGGCGATTGGACAAAGTGGAGTGTTTTTTCCTTTTTCTTCTTCTTACCAGTAACACACGAGCGGAAGAAACTGGTAGAACAAGCAAATATAGAAAATAGATTACCCCATAAGACTTGAGAAGTCACGCCTACTTTCCAAATTTTCTTTTATACAAACAACTGCTGATCGATATTATCAATATTCGTTTAATCTCAACATGTTCACAAAGAAAGTCAAAATCAAATAGAAACAAAAAAAAGAAAAAAGACAAGTGCATGTTCTTCGTTGGAATTTTCTCTAGTTTCGTTTCTTTGGTAAATGACTGGAATTTTCTCTAGTTTTCCATTAATTTCATTGTTTGTCATCTTAACTGAGTTAAGGAGATCTTAATGAATTTTTTTTTGCTAATTGCATTATTTTAGCTTTCTGCTGGATAACACTTGTTTTTTTTTTTTGAATGTGGATGACACTTGTTAGATGCCTGCCGGATATGGTTTATCATCTGTTAATTAATCTGACCCAAACCAAGTATTGCTTTTGTTTGTAGTTATTGGCCATACTAGATTGATACAACTCATCAGGTGGTTCAAGCTGATCCATCCAAAAATAACAAGGCCATTTCAATAAATTGCGCGGCGCGAAGGTGTCATAGAGGCTTCGAGTGAAAGAAGAGGGCCTCAGAGCTTTTTCCTTTCGGTGACTAAAAAGCCCTAAGAGTGGGAATTGTTCCAAGTTGAAGCTTGTGGAGAAGCGGGCAGAGCAAGAAAATCTCTCATGTTTGGTGAAGTTCACCGCGTGAGAAGAGTTTAGGAAGTAAATGGGATTCGACAGATTAGGGGAAGAGGCGAATGATGTTTTTTTTTTTCTTATGTTCAGTTCGTATGGGATTCGGTAGAGTGGTGGAAGAGGGGAAAGCCAAATCAGACCAAAAAAAAAAAAAGAGGGAGGAGCGGGAGTTCTGAAATTTCCGCGAAAAAGGGGAGCGAGAATTTTGAGATTTTTAAAAAAAATATTTTCACTACCCGCCCAATATCAATCTAACGTGTACATTAGTATATATTTAAATATATATACTATAAATCAGCTAAAATTTCATGAACTTTTAATATAAATATATATAACTATTATAACTATTTATAAACGCTATTATATATAGACGATATAACATTTTTTTAAAAATGCTTCATATATACAAACTTTTAAGCTTAAACCACAACCCAGTAGCAGTAGTCTTGTCAATAAGCTCACGCAACACCTCATCTGCCAATGACAGCAAAATAGCATTGTGTGCCCTTTCTAAGAGGTCTTCTTTTGCATTATCTGACAATGTTCCCGGTAAAGCCTCTTCGCCGTTTAGCGCCTTAAGCAACCCTTGTTGAACTAATAGGGCTCGCATCCTGACATGTCAAAGACTGAAATCATTCATCCCGTCGAATTTTAAAATTTCATACTTTGCCGTCATTGTAGAGGTCATAAATCCCAAAATAATTTGACAAATAAACCAAAGCTCTGGTGCCAGTTGTTGTACCAAACGTCAAATGAAACTGATTTAAAATAAAATATGAATAACATAAAAAATGAAAAGACAAAGGGATTTAACGTGGTTCGGCTTTTGGCATACGTCCATGAACAGAAACGGCCAAGAAATTCCACTATAACCAAAGGAGATTACAAAAACTTGTCAAATATCTCTCACCACCTAAATCTCGAATGCACCCAAAATCTCTCAACCCAAAAGCAAGAATACTAAATACCAAAGAATTAAATTCTCTGATCAAATTTCACTCAACAAAATAAAAGAGAGAAAACTGTGTATCAATGGGGATAACCAAACGTGCCGATGCTCTATACTCTTGCGGCTGCCCCTGCTAAACCACATGCATATATCAATGTATATTTTTAGGCAAATGTCAGCAAGCCTTGCTGATAGGAAAGGATATGGGCCTTGGCCCAAAACCCAAAACAAGCTAAGGGGCTTAATTAAAGCCATACTCAACAGTATTTTAGTCTCAAAAGCAAATTTTAGGCTACCAATTAGTAGCAGAAAACACAGTGCCAAACCAAAAAGTCTTACGTCAAGATTTTTTGCTAAAAAAAATAGTTAATAGAGGTATGTTTTTGCTACCAATATTTTGGTCTCATAAACATATTTTTGACTATCAAAATCATTTGGTAGGAGAAAATATGGCGCCATATACATGCATTGGAAGCTAGCTGCTAATGAATAATAGAATCACTCCATTAGTAGTTATTTCGATTACGAGGACATTCATATATATGATTGGAACTTGTGAGAAACATAATAAGGGGAGTTTGCGAGCTTGTGTAGAATTAAGAAGGATAAAAAGCAGTTAAAGGCCGTTGGTTTTGAGTAAAAATCAACAGCAAAGAAAAAAAATTAACCCCATCTTGGCCCGCTTTTGAAGCGGAATTTCTTTTGCAGCCTTGTTTGTTAGTAAAATACATTTATGATTTTGTGTAAATTTATGAAGCGTGCTTCTAATTAGTAAATAAACTCAAATAAAGAATAACATCAATACTACTGTTTCCTTTAAACTCTTCTCCTCCACATTTTTCATTCCTTTTTTTTATTTTTATTTTTTATTTTTTTGTCGGCAGGTTTTTTTTTTTTCTTTGTTTTTTAAAATATATACAAGTATTTTCTTTTCTTTGTTGCTTCTGTCATCTATATCAACAAACACCAAAAGTTCCAAGTCTTCACTGAACGTCTTCCCAACTTGCTAGCGACATCAAAACAGGCACTGCCAATGGCCTGGCAGAAAATTGAAAAAAAAAAAAAAAAAAAAAGAAAAAACCAAAGAAGAAATAAAAAACGTGGAGTTCTCACTTTTCACCATAGCCTTACATTAGATATTACACTAAGGAAAGTTTTATTTTAAGTACCGATGTCAACATCACAATATGCATTGTTTGAGACCAAAGAGATTTCTGGAGAGGACTTCTCGTCACATAGGAAATGTGCATATTCCAAGTCTTCACTAATAAGTCTTCGATGAAAAAATAATTTTACAGACCCTACGAGATTAAATCACATCTAAAGTTCTAAGTCTTCAATGTAACTGTTCTTGTGAAGGTGATGAACAATAAATTTTATGGATCCTAAAGTTTTAAGTCTTCATATAAGTCCTCGTGTATTTGATGATGAAAATTAATTTTATGGACCCCACCAGATAATTAGATCACTTCTAAAGTTCAAAGTCTACACTATAAGTCTTCAAAGAATCTTTAGAATGTTTTCAAGCAAGAGACAACACTAAGCTGTGGTGTCGTTGGATGTACGTTGAATGATAATGTTAGAAAGGAGACTTCAACCTAATATGTAAGAAAAGGGTGACAAATCACATGTTTCATTCTTAGTGAAGACTTGGAACTTTGATGAGAGGTGGGGAATTCATTGCTATTATGTTTTTATATCTATATAACATATAACATTTACTTTCGAGGTCTTCGCACTTCTCGTCTTTCTGAACTATAACTTCATGGAAGTTGCAAAAAATGTCTCTTTTCTTATACTTAATTTTCTAATTTTGTCATGTCACTTTTCCAAGTCTTCAAAGTCTTATTGTATTTGGTGATGAAAAATTAATTAAAATTTTAAGGTTTAAGGTTTTAAGGTTTCATAATAAGACATTGTTTTTGATGATGAAAAATTAATTTTATGGGCCCTATGAGATTAGATCACGTCTAAAATTTCAAGTCTTCACTAATAAATTTTCTTGTGTCTGAAGATGAAAAAATAATTTTACAGACCCCACGAGAATAGATCACGTCTAAAGTACTAAGTCTTCAATGTGATAAAAAATTAATTTTATGGATTAGATCACATATAAAATGTATATCTTCATATAAGTATTGGTGTTATTGATGATGAAAATTAATTTTTTAGACCCCACGAGATAATTAGATCAACTCTAAAGTTCCAATTCTCCACTATAAGTCTTCAAAGAATCTTATCTTTAAGCAAGTCTAGGCTGTGCAATCGTCGGACGTACGTTGAACGATAATGTTAGAAAGGGACATCAACATGAT